CTCTCCTGAGACCCTGGAGACATCAGGCCGCGAACCCGGAGCAACACAAAATATTTAGCTTCATATTATTCTGCATTGCTGTATAAAGTATTGCTGGGATTTGTAGTCCTCTATAGCTGATGGTATTATTCTGCAGTGCTTTACAATGTATTGCTGGGATTTGTAGTCCTTTGTAGCTGATGGTACTATTCTGCATTGCTTTACAATGTATTGCTGGTATTTGTAGTCCTCTGTAGCTGATGGTATTATTCTGCAGTGCTTTACAATGTATTGCTGGGATTTGTAGTCCTCTGTAGCTGATGGTATTATTCTGCAGTGCTTTACAATGTATTGCTGGGATTTGTAGTCCTCTATAGTTAGTGGTAATATTCAGCATTGCTGTATAATTTATTGTTGGGATTTGTAGTCCTCTATAGCTGGTGATATTCTGAATTTTTGTGTAATGTTTTACTAGGATTTGTAGTCCTCTATAGCTGATGATACTCTGAATTTCTGTGTAATGTATTACTGGGATTTGTAGTCCTCTATAGCTGGTGGTATTCTGCATTGCTGTATAATGTATTGCTAAGATTTCTAGTCTCTCTACAGCTTGAAGTCAGTGGCAAATCTACCATTATCGCAGCTGCAACCGGGCCTTGGCGCTCCACCACTGACTCATAGCTGTAGAACTTCCTGTTGCATCTCTGGGACAGGAAGTGAAGGGGAATTTCCTGAATAGTACAGACAGCAATAACTAACCTGCCAGGGTAAAAGTAACACTAATTTTGGCTATAAATACACTTTAAAGCAGGCCATACACTGCCCTAATTTCTTCTCAGGCCTGTTTGGTCACAATTCGAGCCATGTTGGACAAAAGGTTCGTTTTTCAACAGACATTTGTTGAAGGAGCCGTCTGAAAATCTTCGCCAAAACAGTAACTGCAGCTAATCAGGTGGGTGTGCTGCTGTCAGAACAGTGGCAGCAGCTGATGCAATAGCTTGGTGGGGTTGATTTCTCCTGGGGAATTGAGTGCTGGTGTATGGCCAGCTTTAGGCACACAATGCGTTAGTTGACAGGAGAAAAAAGATTTTGTGACACGTGTGTGGTCCATGCAGATGGTAAAAGAACATGGATAAAATACAATTCATTCATCTACTTTTGAAGGGAATGTTTGCTGGAACTGCACCAAATAAGGATGAATTGGTAAATGTCATATTTGGTTTCTGTTGCTTATTCTTCTAATGTGATGGATCTGAATTTGTAACCTAATTTATGAAGTAAATGTACAAGTAGTCTGTGTTTTTGTATTTATTTATTTTTTCATTTTGCTTCCGTCTGTTTCTGTTTTATTAATTTGGCATAAACAAAATGATTGCATTCATACGGCTTTTGT